TATTTGTTCGCAGGCCCAACCTATGTTAAAGGACCTAATTTGAATTAATTGAGCATTAAAAAATAATCTGGCTTTTCTTGATTAGGTTGTTTCCCTGGTCTAATGGTCGTGTGAAATGTTCAATATACAAGCAACGATCAAGAGATCTGCCGACGCGAAAGAAATGGCTGCCAAAAAAAAAAAAAAAAAAGAAAAAAAAAAAGAAAAAAAAAGAAAAATTAAAAGAAAAAAAAAGAAGAAAATAAGCCACGGGCAAAAATATTGGAAGTAAAAAAAAAAACTTATTAAAATGTGTTGAGGCGTATGTGTCACAACAGTTCACGCATGCATAGACGTACACACACATGCACACACATGAGAGCATTAAGATACACACACGCATATAAAATGTGTAGACTAGCAGTTATATTAGTCAATACGCACACAAACACAAACCTACACCCACGCATATATATTATTGTTGTTTACTAAATTCACTTACCTCAAGATAGTGTTAGCCGATATCAAGAACACAGTGGTAGGAAACCCACCGGGGATCGAATTAACGATACGGATTTGCTAAACTTTGTACAGTGGTAGATGTATAAAGTTATTTCATAATGATAGCGAAAAACGTCGGGTTCTCGATGTGGACAAAGACGAGAGTTCTCAAACGTTACCTTCTGTAAACTGGCTTTTTTATACTAATTTTCACTCAGTAAAAAGCTCAAGAGCCACTCAAGATAGAGGGTTATTGTGTGGTGTTGTTTGAGCGTAAGAAAAGGTAAGAATTGAAATTCATTAGGTTATGTAGGAAAGATAACGGCTAACCCTAGACTTGAAGAGGTCATTATTGTAGTGATTGGGAAAACATCCTACTGGGGGTATGTTACCCAAAGCAGCAGTTCTTGAGAAGAAGCTGTCTAAATGGAACTTACTACTTACTAATGGAATACGAATGGAAGGAAGATGATTTACCACTATGTATGTGTCATGGTAAGCCTCAGTTGCAACTGTTAGTACTGGTGGGACAATGGAATGTAGATCATCAGAATACATGCCATAAAAATAGCGATAAAATAATGAGAGGCTCGCGATGTTTTGTCTGTGGGAAAGGGGTTGTGGGATGGAAAATAATTCACCGTCCACAAGGCCATGTAGAAGCTTTTTAACTCTATCAAGATAAGCAAGTGAGGACTGGGCAGCTTCCGGCATAGATATGGTCGGATATGAATTTTGTAAAGAAAGAAAATAGCAAATATACAAGACCATTTTTTCCAGAATGTTTATCAATAGATAGTATATATAGGTTCTACTTGAGGTCTGAGTTGATCTTGAATCTCAACAGACGTTCAAGGCACGGAGCCTCATTGAGAGAAAACCCATCCATCATAAATGAAAGTTCGGGGTCTTTTCGATGGTGGTGGAACTTTACTAGTTTGGTTTTAGAGGAATTGAATCCATCCCACTGTCCTTCCCACATTGAACCACCAGACAGGGCAGAGGAGAGATTGGCTGCTAGGTAATGGTCATCCAGATTGTTGGATGTATACTTATAAGTTGTGCGTATATATATATATATATATATATATATATATATATATATATATATTCGAGATAATGTATAACAAAGTGGATACAAAGTCACACATTTGATACTAGTATCTTATATATATATATATATATATATATATATATATATATATATATATATATATCAACAATACTACCCGTCAAAAGTGTAAATTTTCATTTTTCGTTTCACCTTTTGGAAGTGATGTCTGATGATCCAGGGTACTTTAAAAGGTCTCTGGTGAAATAAACTATTACAATGGAGCCTTAAAGTGGTATTTTTTTTTTAAATATATATATATATATATATATATATATATATATATATATATATATATGAATCACATACCCATATATATTTTATATATCAGGAAAACATTGGTCAAAAAATGTGTGATTTTGTATCCACTTTGTTATACACACACATACACATATTTAGATTTAGATTTAAACCGACGTCATCAGAAAATTTACTTCAATTTTATTTTAAAATCTTATTTTAATTATTAAAAATATGTTTCATGTTAAACTACTGAATTTTAATTTAACTCTGTTGTTATAGTAATTAGAGTTTAACAAATTGAAACCGAAGTATCATTATTGTATATTCTCACGGTTTATATAATATATCCAACCATTTTTCAGTCGTAATTTTACAAGAAAAGACAATAAATTGAAATAATCAGATCCTATATTGATTATAGAAGACACATTCAATACATTCCAAATCGTGATATATTTACTATTCCAGGAATTATCATTCAACTACACACACACATTCACACATATACACACACACAAATGCACATACACGCTCGAGCATAAACACGCACGCACGTACAAACACATACACACACAAATATATATATATATATATATATATATATATATTACTTCAAACGTTATTCTTAGTATGTACCCGTATTTGAGTTCGAGCTACGTTTTATGTTAAAACTTATTCATTTCATCTACCGGCCTGTACACACAAGAAAAACAAGAAAATGTGCCTTCCGAGTGTACAGGCCGTTAGACGAAATAAATTCTATTTAAAATAAAACGGAACGTAGACTCAAATATGGAAGTCAACTAAAAATAATGATTGAAGTAATAAAAATATGTCGGATAAAAAAATCCTTTAATTCTTTATATATTATATATATATATATATATATATATATATATATATATATATATATATATATATATATGTGTGTGTGTGTGTGTGTGTGTGTGTGTGTGTGTATATATAGAGAGAGAGAGAAAAGAGAGAGATATAGAAGCAATGCAGATATAGAAAACATTTAAGAATTTTCTTAATATGTAAAACTGTCATTGTGAGTGTTAATTTCTGTGTCCACCTTTGTTTACATCAACAAATTCTCTATTCCTAATACTGACCACTTTACTCCATCGTTATAGCAAATGTTAAATAATACATACATATATATATATATATATATATATATATATATATATATATATATATATATATATATAGTGACAGTATATGAACATAGAAATCATCGCTGCGTGTTGACTGCCAATTTCACGCTTCAAGCGTTCTTCCGACCATATGACACATGTTTCCGATAGATATTATGAAGATTGCTTAAGGCGTGAAATTGACAATGACAATACAAAGTTGATTTCTATGTCAACATTCTATCTGCAAACCCTTTATCTCTGATTCTAAGCACTCTTCACAAATTAAGATAGCCAATTTTAACAATATAATTATGTATATGGCATACAAGTTATGGATGTATAACTATGGAAATACTGATTGAATAATAACCATTTAACCTATTATTTCACCTTCACTAAATTTTGCATATAAAATTGAACCTTTTTCTGGACCAACATGCTTGACAGTTTCTGCACTTACATTTATATGTCTTGAGAGACTTTTAAAAAGGAAGAAAGCAAGCGAAATAAGTTTTAAATATTGAAGAAAAAATGATACAGTTCGACTCCGACCTACGACCCATGCGACTTACGACTTTTAGACTTTACAAATACAACCGCAAATTAGTATGTTTGACCGGTTGACCTCGACTGCTCTGTGTCTTGCAACGTGATTGTTTCCCGGCTTTATATACGACAATTTCCGCTCCAGCTCCCGACAATGCTCGCATTACCTCGCGCGCGTCAAGTTCAGTGTTAGGGCAGCCTCAGTAATCAGTATTTTTAGCACATATTAAACCAGCTGTACTCTCGTATACAGTGTTTGACTTAAACCCGACGTATGTAAAAAGAAGAAACAAATCAATATGTAGAAAGATGATAAAAATGGTATCCGTAAAAATGGAAACCGTAAAAATTATTTAAAAAATATAATAAGACCTAAAGAACGATAAAAAGATTGCAAAACTAATTACGAACAGATCTATTTACGACATGTCGGTCGTATTTAACCGTGGTCGTAAGTAGACACCGACCTGTATATCACCACCAGGATCTGCGATCGTCGCATAGACAAACTAATGTTAACAAGTTTAAATGTTCTAATATTATTTTGTTCAAAAACAAATATAATTTCTAGACCAACAGTTCTCGCCATATTGTAATGCAGTTCAAAATAAAGAGATGTAAAAATCTGATTTATATGAAAGATTTCGGGAGAAAAAAAAAACCTGATGATAAAATCTGGAGCCGGACTCTCAGAGACAGTTCGACGTTACATTCTTCTTTGTTCTGGTATTTCATGCGACAACATCAATGCCTAGCAATATCTGCCATTTCCTTTTCCTTGGACAACTTCTGTGGCATGGAGAGGAGAGATGCACTGTATGGCCAACTGTCAATTGCCTTTGGCAAGACCCTGCTTAGGCTGTATCCAGGTGAGGACACTCCAGTATGACCTCAACTGCGTTCGATTGGTAAGACACGCTGTGCTATTTACTTTCTCATGAAAGTGACGATGGCTATACACGCAGTTCGAAGCACAGAAGACCTTTGATTCCAGAAAAATGCAGACTGCTAATTTTCCCGCCAAATACGTGTGAAATATAGTCCATGTGTAATCTGTTTTATCATATAATTTTTAATAGGTTATTTGTATGATTTTGCTTACGTCATTGAGGTTCATATCTGGCAGCTTTTCTTTGTTTTCTAATAAAAAACAAATCAGTATGCAGCATATCTCTACACTGTTTTTATTGATATATTGATTCTGGTCGATTACTGAACAAAACATTGATTTGTATGGTCTGTAAATTTGACTTTAATGTTTTTGACTGGCACGGAAGAAATAAATATAAATATACTGAAAACATAAACGATGCATTCACATGTAGATAATCATGTGAACGTTTTTGATTGGCGTACGGGTTTCATTTCTCACCACAGATTAATAATCGATTAAAAAAAAAAGCAGTTTCATCTTTTGTTGTAAAATAAATAGTAAAAATTGATTCATTGCGCTTTGCTTTGTTCACTAGTTCTGTCACGTTGAAACACCGGTTCATGTACGATTACCGAAGTTAAGCAACGTCGAGACTCGTCAGTACCTAGATGGATGACCGTTTGGGAATACCAGGTATTGTAAGCATGGATGTGCAGATGGTGTAACAGATAATGGCTCGGAATTGTAAATCGGATAGCCGAGTTCCAATTCCGGTTGGTTTCGTTATCTTCGCTTACGCGCAAATACCCTTGGGAACTGTATGAATCCACCGTTTCTCCTCACATCTATGGGTTAATTAGTAAGATTTGTATCACTATACTCTTAGTATCTAAAAAATCTTACAACCTAAAAATGTTGTCTGACTTTAGATAACCTGCAAAGTATTGATAAGCCATGGAAAACGGATCAACGAAACAAACTAATTCTGTCGACCACATAATCACTTGGTGATGCAGGTGAAGAATTTCGTTGCTTCTGCTGCGATTAAAATTTTGGAGGATTATATATGTATTTTGCATTACACACACACACACACACACACACACACACACACACACACACATATATATATATATATATATATATATATATATATATATATATATATGTATATATATATATATATATCATAGTTGTGTTTGTTCAATGCCCACAGAACCCATATGTGGCTTATACTGTAACTATGCTGAACGGATCTTAATTACAGTTTCTAGGTGATAGCGTGATTATCTAGCGTAATCAGGAACAGTACGCTCAAACCTTCGGTCACAATGACTTGTTATTTCATGCTAGTACAGTCATCGACGTCTCCGAAATAGTTCCGTATATCGGTCTGGCGGAGTCGATCCCAGCGCGCAGGCACCTTTGGAAAGTGCCTGAAAAACATACCGCGGGTTGACTGACCCAACCCTTATGATTGAAATTTTGGGTAGACGGATATCTATCTATCTATCTATCTATCTATCTATCTATCTATATATATATATATATATATATATATATATATATATGTGTGTGTGTGTGTGTGTGTTTTGTTATCTATCTATCTATATATATATATATATGTGTGTGTGTGTGTGTGTGTGTGTGTGTGTGTGTGTGTGTGTGTGTGTGTGTGTGTGTGTGTGAAACCCAGCTGCACTTTCCGGCTCTGGCAGAGTTCAAAAACGATTGAGCAGCCTTGTGGGTGATTAATTCTTTTTGACCCTATAAATTTTTAATGGCCGATGATGTTGTATATGAGAGATGCGTAATTAATAATTTATATGTGTAATATTGAATCGTTATTACGTGAATGCTGTTGCTCTGGCAAAACGGATCAACCCCTTTCTCACAGACGAAACATTGCTAGCTTCTCGTTATTTTATCACCATTTCCATGACAAATTGAGGATGTTTCCCCGATCACTACAATCTTAACCCCTTCATGTCCAGAGTCAACCGTTATCTATCCTAGATATCCCCACGATTTCCACTTCTTCTCTCGTTCAGTAACCCTCTACCTTGAGTGATCCTTGGTTTTTCTATTGAGTGAACAATAGTATAAAAAATAAAACAAAATCAACGCCATATTGTTTGGTTGCAGTTAGTAGTCGTATTAGTCTTAAGTTGTTAAAGTTCCTTGTATTAAGTAATTTTGTTATTAATTTTTGCTAGTTTTTCTTTTATCATCTTTTTATTGGTCTGTACCGTGGTGTTCGGGGCAATCTTACATTTTGCGACTGATGAACCCTACTTGATGATGGCTCTCTCCGTGACAAAAATTTATGAAGTGATCTCCACTTTAGAAAGGTAAAGGTACCAAAGGATACAGGATGCGTGTTTACATCATATTCTAGTCTATTTAGTAGTTTACTCGCGGTTTCCTTTTGCCTCTCTTTCCTTCAATATGTCAAGCCCTATCACCTCGCTATGTGTTCCAGAAATTTCAACTGTCTCGGTCTGAATCTAAATATAACTTAAAGCTTCTTCGTTGCCCACATGCTCCAACCATGGTATTTTCAGCATCCTTCTGTAAAATCACATCTCTATTACATAATGTTTCCCTTTTGTCTTTGAGGAAGATGTCCATCATTCTCTGATATATAAGAGGATTAATATTATATAACACTTTAGCACTTTCTTTTATAACGATTTTTTGTTGCTTGCTTTACATCATAACCAAACCTCAAGTTATTTCTCTATCAGGCTCCTTCTCTATCGAAAATGTTTATTTTTCCTCATCTTTCCCTTGCTCATTTGCCTGATTTCTTTGTTAGCATACTTTAACCACTTTCTTTTTTTTCTTTTTTTTTTTTTTTTTTGTTGTCACTCCAATATCGTTTTTCTTCTAATTTTGGTTTAAATCTTTTTTCTGTGAATAACTGATACATCTTTATTTGCCATTTTAAAGCTTTTAGCATATAAATTGTTCTGTACATTGATATAAAAAAATCGTATTCATAATAAAATTAAAATAATAATAAATTAAAATGTTTTATGTAAGAAATTCGGACAATTGTTTTATTTTTTTTACTAAAATGTAATTATTTGGCTTAGAAAATATGGTATGAAAAATTTCTGCGTATAGTTGTGTTTTTTTTCGTTTTAGCACTGAAAGTAATCAACAATTTCTGTAAGATCTATTTCTCTTTTAAAAGAATGTATTCCTCTTTGAAAAAGAATATGGCAAAATACATATCAATAGGAAGAAAATGTATCCAGGTAAGATTCACATTATGCCAAATATTATTTATACAGGTCAATGTTTTCATAATATAATTGGTATTAACCAACCGATGTTGGTAAAATTTTCAGAATATAATTATATTTATATGATAAATGATATGATAAAAATGAGGAGATACAGTAGAGTAGTGGATAGCGGCTCGGATTGTGGAACCGAGTTCGAATTTCACTCGAATCCATTACGTGCTAATACCCCTGGGAAAGGTATTAATCCTCTTCTTCTCCCTCCAGCTATTGGTAAATAGCAGAACAGACTGGCTATAGCCTTGGATGGCAACTGGTCTAGGAGAAGGACAACTCTGAATTCAAAACCTGCGCAGGGTCATTTGGGGACCTTGTGGTACGTAGTGCATCAGGTCTCTGTATTCAGCCATTCATAAAGTGTGATTGGTTCTGCACAAAACCTTCACCACTATAATCAAATCATATGTGCTGGTGTCTGGCTGTCGATTCCTAGGAACTGAGCTGCTTGACCCTCATACGTCGAATACGATGGGAGAGTCCACTATATGATAAATAAACCATTCAACTTATAAAATCTTTTCTTTTAGAAATATTTATAATAATTGTTTTTGATAGTATGAGGTTCTCTCTCGTACCTGGAGGTTTTTTTTTTATCGTATTAGAAATAAATGCACATAATAACATGGAGATTAATATTCATTTTATGATTTCAGATTTAAAGAGTGTTGTAATCCGTAAAGAAGATATAAAGTCAAAATTTATTAAATTATGGGAACACAATATTGGAAATGATAAAAATGTTAAAGAGACCAGAGAATAATTAAACAAGAAATCTAAGATATTAGCCAAATAAGATCAAGAAAACAAAATGGGTGTCAAAAAGAATGTCACAAAAAGAGACTTGAGAAAAATTAAAAGAGTAATTATTAATAATAAATGGAATGACGAAAAGAAAATATTTAAAGTAGCTGATTTTACAAATGCAAGTAGTGATAACTGACACAGAATGTTAAGAACGTGTTCTAAAAACATGAAAGCAACCAAACGACCAACTTTATGTAAACATTAAAAAGAGAAACATGTAAGTTGGTTGGAGACGTACATCAAGTCTTATTTCTCAACAGTAATTTTTACTGATGAATGGCTTGATTAGATGGACCTTACAACTGATCTAGAGGTTGGGTCTTTATCGAAGTAGTCAACCAAGACGTTCGGATTTCGAGTCATGTTTTTCGCTAGTATTAGAGACATCAATATTATAAAGAGTGCTTCAGTATCTGTCTATATTTCTGAAATGAGGCATTATCTACACTATTTACATTATTCGGACTATTGTCCTCATCTTTGTCGCCATATTTATTACAACGTTTCGGCCGTTGTACGCTCCTCAAGGACAGATGGCACAGTGGATAAAGGCGTTGGCTAGATCCAGTGACAGGACCCAAAGAGTGTGCGTTCAATACCCGGTTAAGGCAGTGAAGAACTTGGAGAGGGGAATTAACAGGAGATAACTGATAACTGACATCCATTAAAACATGGCACGTGAAACTAGAACAGTCTACCCAGTGAGCGAAATAAAGGGTTCAGTTCGACATTCCAACCACCTGAAGAAGGCCGGAGCGTACAACGGCCGAAACGTTGTAATAAATATCGTGACAAAGATGAGGACAATATTCCGAATAATGTAAAGGGTGCTTCATTAAGACGGTTTATATATAAGAGTGTTTCATCAAGATGAAGCAAATCAGCAGTAAATAAATCAGTGCAATGGTGTAATTTATTTATTTCTCTATTGGATCATGTTAAGTCATGGCAATTATATGTGAAAAATAATATCGCCCAAATGTCCGCCAAATCTGAAAGAAAAAGAAAAAAAAATCATTAGATGCTTAAACTTAATTCACATTTAAAATCGATCCAAGTTATTAGAACGCCCTTTATAAAGTAAATGACGGAACCAGAATAACAGCAGATTTTGGTAATTTCTTGGAGAAGATATTCTTAAGTTGTATTAGTCACAACCAAGAAGCGGTAAGCTAAACAGGGTGTTCACGTAAGACAATAGTTCATCACATTCTGTAAAGATCCTTATTGCTCACCTTGCCAAAAATGGTTTCAATGACATCAATTTAATGGAATTTTTCCAAGCCACTCCTGACATAAATCCAATAGAAAATGTATGGTCCATCATTAAAAGTGTGGTATATGAAATAAAAATATGGGAAGCAATAAAAATTATTGCAAGTAATGTTAAAGTTTAAACAGTAGAAAAATTATCAAAATCGATAGATGAATGATTTATAACGTTTATAGAATAACAAGGAGGCCATATTAACATGTAAAATGATGAAATAATAATTTATTCAGCCATATAGGATATTTTGCTAATCAAATATATATGACTATGGACGATATGTAAAAATCTGACACCCTTAAAATACAAAATTAATATCAATATTTTTAATAAGGTTAAAATCACACAATATACATGATTATTTTTTTTAAATCAGCCCCTTAAGATTTTGTTCTGTGTTGAGTTGCTTAGTTTTTGTGTCAGATTAAAGAATCAACTTACTTCTACTTTTATGCTTGCATCTAATAAATAGAAAAGAAAGACATTTCAATGTAACTAGTAGTACTGGTAAAATTCTTGAATACAGTATAAATAATTTATCCGGTTTTGTAGGATATTGTTTTAAACAGATATATGTTTTAATTGCAAATATCTTTCGGATTTATAAATAAAAAAAAAACGTAGCATATAGTTTGCATCATAAAACCTGAAACCCCTAAAACACGTTATCAGTATTTGTTTGTTTTGTTTTTTCTTTTTCTTTTTCTTTTTTGTGGTGGGGATATTTATTTTTTTATTAAGGATAGATATTATATGCTGAAACTTATACGTTGTATTACTCATATATCTTGAAAATTTTACCAACATCGGTTAGTTAATAGCAATTTTATTGAGAAAACATTGACTTACGTAATAAAATCTGGCATAATGTAAATTCTAATAATGTTGCTTTTACGTGTGGTTAGTTCATTCTTCATGAACTGTTGCTCAGTATTTTCATCACCACGAGCCCCTTTTATTTTAATTAATTTTCCCACCAACCGTCATGGTATACATCCGCTCGACAAGTCATTCTAATTAACCAACGCTAATTCGTTCTTCGTCGATTTTTTCCCTGCTAAAAGAATGAGGTACAGACACACCACTGATCAACGGACTAATAGGGGGATGGGTGGTCCGTTAGAGCCGATTATCCGTAGATGGTAAGGAATTATTTTTGAGTTATAAAACCACTATAGTAACTACCAGTAGTTATGATCATAATGTAAATACTATAAACATGTATATATGGCATAAATAAATATATACTTAATAGATATATTAATTAAATAACAAAAACAATAGTTTTCTCACAGCTACTTTCTCACGCACGCGTTAATGTATCGTACTTTATATACTTTGCACCCGTCTTTGTTTACAACTGAAAGACCAGCCACCGCAAAACGGTCACTTTGATAACTAATACGACTCGTTTCGCTAAGCCCGTAAATTTTGAAATACATCGCTGATGATTTGGAAGTTTTTTTTTCCTACATAAGTTTTTTTTAAATTATTTTGCCTTCAGATTCTGTCCGTTGCATCCGAAGTGCATTGATTGGGGGGCGTAGATGAGTGGTTTGTCTGTATATGCAAGTGTTGGGTGTTTGAAATGAAATCTCTGTAAAGCCAAAAGAAGATTTTTATTCTCTTAAGGTTGGTGAATTCCTACGTTGCATAGTGCTTCATGGATAAGTTCTTGTACCAGACCTGGCATAGACCGGCAAATTATATGTTTAATAATACAGTGTTAGATCCCCATTGTGTTTTAAACTATTGTAGCCTTGGGCCAGACGAATATTAACGTAAATATATATAATATAATAAACATTAATATTTGCTGTCTTATTCGTTTCAGAGAAATAAAAGCTGCAAGAAATTTGGCAACAGATTGTTTTGATACCAGATTTTCTTTAACCATTTCACCCCAAGTAAGACAATAAAGCAACTAAAACGCAAGGGGTTCTCAATTTTTCTAATCTTTTACTATGATATTCGGTACTGTTTTCAACACAGCATAATTATGCATAAAATTGGTACTTTTATCTTACACATACATTTTTATCTCTTTGGCAATTTTTTGGTATTTTCGACCTACTCACTTTCATTCAATTTTACTTTATATTTTTTTTAATTATTTCCCTCAAAGAAGGCAATAAAGCCACTAGGATTCAAGAGGTTGCTGAATGTGACAGAATATGAGAAAAAGAAAATAATTATTAAGGCGAGAGAACAATACAAAAAACAAAAAACAAAACAGTAGTTAGGAAGACAAAGCATAACGATTGACATTGCATTCAAATTTTTGAAGAACAAAGTTGAATGAAAAGCAGGAAGCCGTCAGGGATTTATATAGCTTTTATACCATATTTATATAGCTTTTACGCTAGATTCATATAGCTTTTATATCGTATTTATATAGCTTTGATACTAGATTTATATAGCTTTTATACCATATTTATATAGCTCTTGTACTAAATTTATACATCTTTTATATCATATTTATATAATTTTTGTACTAGATTTATATAGCTTATTAAACCAGATTTATATAACTTTTATACTAGATTTGCACACGCATTTTCCTTATATTTGGTGCACACATGCGCGTTTCTATATACTATGTGCACCAAGTGACTGGGGATAAGTTATGATAATGGATCAGGTGGCTCTCGTCGATGTTGGCCATCAACGAGTCCTTTGTATTCTGGGGTCGCTGGTTGATCCAGGGTAAACATTGGCTGTGCGTCGATGGCACTCATCTTCTTGCTGAGGTTATGATTGGGGATCTCCTGGACCTATTCGACGAACACAGTCGTTGTTACAACGTCTGCTACCTTAGAATCATTCGTTCTCTTGACCATAGTTGACATGTCCTTGTCAAAGACATTCAGCTGGTTCCTGATTTATATGTTCTCGATAGGTCAAGAAAAGAAACAAAAATGTTAAATTTGGCGCATACCGCGTAACATTACGTCAGGCCATCTTCTATTTGTGGACAAGATAATGTGTGTTTTCAGATGCACCCGATATGTATTCTCCTCATACCGAAAATCTAACATTGTAAAGATATTTTCTTTCTTTCTTTCTTTCTTTCTTTCTTTCTTTCTTTCTTTCTTTCTCTCTCTCTCTCTCTCTTACTTGACTCTCTCTCTTTCTTTCTCCCACTCTTGGATCTCGCTCCCCCGCTCTTGGCTCTCTCTCTCTCTCTCTCTCTCTCTCTCTCTCACGATCTATCTATCTATCTATCTATCTATCTATCTATCTATCTATCTATCTATCTATCTATCTATCGAGAAAATGCATGACAAAGTGGGAAACTTTTCTTGTGACGCGTTTTGTCATCGTACTAAATCCTAAAGGACAAAACCCATCACGGTTGTCATACATTTTTCTCAAAATTGTTCTTGATATATAAAAACATCTATCTATCTATCTATCTATCTATCTATCTATCTATCTATCTATCTATCTATCTATCTATCACACACACACATATATACACACATACACACACATGTATATGTATGCATATATAATTAAATGCTCATTTACAACGGGGATTACATCAGTCATTCTTGACTTGATTGTAAAATCAAATTTCTTTTTCGAAAATTAGGGATAAAATAAGTAAACATTTAATGTCATTTCTTACTATTAATACTCTATCTCTTGATATTGAGCACTACGCTTGCAAATTGTGCGTATATATGCTCAAACGTTATCTTCCAGAAATACGATGGTTGACCATTTTTCATTTTGGTGCAGCATACACTTTGTCACACACTGACAAACAAATAAACACACACACACACACACACACACACACACACACATGTATATATATATATATATATATATATATATATATATATATATATATATATATATATATATATATATACTGGCGTGAAAAAGTTTGGGGCCAATGACATAAAATAATTAAGCAGCTTTTAAGTGAAAAAAGACTATGCAAAACTACTGGGCCAGCGAAAGATATGAGATGATAAAATCTTGATAGTATGCAAATTTCTAAGTATGAATTGTTCCACCTTCTTAACAAGAGTGTAATGTGCCTTGATAATTTTTTGAAGTTGAATAATAGTTTGCTTTTTTACACTAAAATCATGTCTAAACTTTCTGCTGAAACAAAGATGAAGGTTGTGACTTTAAAGGGAGAAATGACTTAACGAAAGATATCCAGGCGGCTGGGAATTTGGAGAAATCATCCAAAAGACGTTTGCTACTTCTGGAAGTGTTTTAAGTACAAAGTAAACAGGAAGTCCACAGAAGTTAGACAAGATTGATGAAAGAAAGATTAAGAGAGTCTCGGTAGGCAACCCAAAATTATCAGTCAGATAAGGGAGAAGTGAATGTAGTCTTAACAGTGATGTTTCTTTTTTTTTACAGTACGCAGAGTATTACGGAAAAAAACAGCTTGAACGAGCGTACAGCAGCAAAAACGCATTATTAACTAAAAGAAAACATTGGAATAGAATATTGATGTGTTCAACATTTAAAATTGGATGCTGGAAAGTGGCAAAATAAATTTAATGATGAATGCAAAAGAATTACATTCTAATATGTTAAAAAACACAGATAGAGAATGAAACAATGCAAGATACGCCATTAAAACAGTAAAATATCATGGCGGACGCATAATAGTGTTGTACTGTATTAAATATGATGGTAGACGAAAATTGGTAAAAATTTGATGGAAACCTAAACTATATTAGTTTACGACGGTCTAATCATCTGCAAGACTACAAAGACGGGGAAAATTTTCAACATGATGATGCTCCTTGCTACACATCAGTTAGTGAGTTATGTTCCATGCATGATACATGCTTAGGTGATCATGTATCTTTCGATACATGACTGAGGAGGCAGATTTTTTTCCCGCAGTAGGTTGCCATTTCTTTCTGCGGTAGACCAGTTGCATTGAAGGCTACAAAAATCTGTCTGTCCTGCTATTTATCCATAGCTGGGGGTGGAGAAGAAGAGGATTCATACCTTTTCCAAGGGTATTAACAAGTGAAATGTAATGGATTTAACTGGATTTCGAACTCTGCTCTCCGATTCCTCAATCCTAGCCGTTATCCATTACTCCACCGTGTCACACATCACATGCAATAAAAACGTTTCATATAGATGAACATGTTCAGCATTTAGAAGAGTGGCCTTTTCATCTCAATATTATTGAACCATTGTGGCAGGAACTGAAGAAATTAATGCTCCAACGAAAACCACGCAATCTTCAAGAGAGTTGAGATTACTACCAAGAAGAATGGGAAACGATTCCCAATGAGAAAATCTGAACCTTGTCCGATTCAATGCCACATCGAATTTAGGCAATTATTCTACCCAAAGGCAACAACACTAATTACTAAGTCAGTAGTTTGACGTTCTTGTACTTTCTGTAATTATAAAGGTCACTTTTACAAAAAAAAAAAAAAAAAAATCCTAAAACGTGAAACTTTCTCTAGCGGCCCATTATTTTTGAATGACCTTTTTTTTCAGCACCACTAAGCTTAAAATGTTTTATCACCCCCATAAAGCATTATCAAACAATGCAGCAACTTCTTTTCTGTCCCTCAGTGTTGATAAAAATGTACTGAGAAAAGCATACTGCTAATTACTTTCGATTTTGGGGTAAAATTAACAAAAGTAATTAAATTACCAAGGTAACCCAAAATCTTGCACGCCAGTACACACATACACACACACACACACACACACACACACACACATATATATATATATATATATATATATATATATATATATATATATATATATATATATATATATACGAGTTGTTGAAGGTTCTCGTCCCAGTACACTTTCTCCCACAGTCAATATTCTATTTGACTATTGAAATACTGATTTTGGAAAGTGGACTGAGCTGAGAAATTTTTAGCATCCGCTTGTATATATACTAATTTACCGGATGTTTCCGGGATCAACAAATGCGTCACTATTTACAGAATTAATTATTTTTTTTACACCGAACTACCGAACATAATTGATATCGCATGAACTGAAGTAAATATTTTTAAAAATCCACACACTACCTAAATATGATTATTTTTGAAATACCTAAATTATACATATTGCTTCATTAGATCAAGTCGTTTTTAATTTGTTGTATTTGGTTCAGCACTCACTCAGAAAATTGGCCAAGTGTGACGTAACTTTTATCGACGCGGAAAATGGGGAAAAAAATTAAATTCCCATTGAGGTTTCTACGTTGACTTTGTTGTAATACCGTTGGGAATAGTATGAATCCATTTTCTCCTCTCTGCCTTGCCATGAGTGAAACAGTAGGGCTAACTACTCTCTTTAGTCTTGGTAGAGTAATTATTTCAGGCGAAGGGCAACTGCATTGAAATCCCCTGTTAATAAGCCTTTCTTATTTTATCTACCGTGTCCCTTCAGGACTTCGGCGATCATGGCTCTCCACAACTTCCTATCGCTTGAGCACAAGGTTTTGGAGTGATCACTAATGATAGCGATGTTATGCCTCCATTCATCTTCTAACAGGGCCTCAGATTCACCACTGAGACCTACATCAAGTGCCTTGAGGAGGTAGTACAGCCCTGGGCGAAGGGGGTGGATGATGGAAGACCCTATATCTGGCAACAGAATTCTACACCATACCACACAAGCAGGAGAACCCAGTCATGGCTCCCAGACACTTTCTGCGACCACATCACCCCTTAGATCTGGCCACCTAACTTCCCAGACTGCAGCCCCCTTGATTATTATGTGTAAGGCACAGGTGAGCAAGACCAACAAAACGCCTTGTAACAAGATGAACTGAAGGGAAAGATTATGATAGCATTCACCAACTTAAACAAGGAGATCGTCCAGATGAGTTGTAGGAGATTCCAAAGTCGTCTGGAGGCCGTTGTTGATGCCAATGGCGATTTTATTGAGTACATTTACTCTTTAGTATTGCAAGATATTTTTGTGTAATTTTGGTAAATATATTTGTTAAATGAAATGTCAGTGTTATTTTCATTTTTGCGTAATTTAGATGTCAGTTTATCCAGTGCACCATATATATATGTATGTGTTTGTGTGTGTTGGTTGTGTTTGAAAGGAATATTCTCGCAGTTTGTAGTACATTTGGAAAATTTTAAATTACTTAGAAACCACGAAAAACTTCCTTCCAACTAAATATATATGAATGACAAAAAAAACAAACAAACCAAAAACTCTTATGAGACGTTTCGTCCTTCGAAAGGACTTCTACAGACTAACGATAGTATCTTATATATAAGCAAGAATAAATGCAGCAAATGTCAGTTACAATTTGACGTCGAAAGATTTTTATAGCATTGTTTACTATGCCCAAGAGCCACTCAAGGTAGAGGATTATGAAGGAGTTTGCAAAAGAAGGAAGTGTGAAGTATATATCATGAACGATTAAACTTAGACTTGAAGAAGTTAAGATTGTAGTGATTGGGGAAGCACCCTCTTGGGAGTCTGCTTCACAAAGTAACAGTTCTGGGGAAAATCTGTCTGTGTGGAACTTCCTCTATCAGACTGAAGATGAGTTGACCCTGTATACTTGGCATGGCGGGATTCAATTTGGGAACGTCTGAATTTTGGTGGTACTAAGGAATGTAACTAGTTAGAACATTTGTCGTGAAAACAGCGATAGGACATTTGTCATGAAAATAGCGATAGAATAGTAAAAAGCTAGCAACATTTCGTTTGTGCGAAAGGGGGTTGTAAGGTGGAAAATAATTAATCACCCAGAATTCTGCGTAAACGTTTTCGACCTCTATGAATGCTGGAACGTGTGGATTGTGCAGATTCAGCCCAGATATTTTTTTATAGTAATGTTCACACCGTACAAGACCCACTTGAAGTAGAGGATACAGAGTAAGAGGTACAGCTTATGTGGATAAGATAACGGTTAACTCTAGACTTGAACAGGTTAAAATAGTAGTGACCAGAGAAGCAACCTAAGGCAGAGGTTCATAGGAAGAAGCTGCTTGATTGTAACTTACATTTCACCAGGTGAGGACATGAAGTGAATGAAGCGGATTCACTACAATGTACGTGGCATGGGCGGCTCTTTGGACTCGAGAAACTTAACAGTATAGTTCATCCGAACACTCACCATGCAAATAGCGATAGAGTAGTGAGGGGCTTGGGACGACAGGTCTCTGCGAAAGGGGTTGCCGAGTGGAAAATAATTCGTCGCCTACAAGGACGCGGAGACGCTAAATTTAAAATATGTGATGAATACAGCCAGTCTTAGCTTAACGAGTTACCTTTTTACCAACCCCTAGACTTGCGATCAGCTATAAAATCTAATGAAATAAAAAGTAAATATATATATATATATATATATATATATATATATATATATATTAAAAAAAAGAGACAAACCGCAAACGTTTTTGGTTGTAATGTGGATTTTTTAAAAAAATATATTATGCTTTATTTTCCTTAATTTTGCTACACGTGTTTCCGGTCTCGCGACTTCCATCAGGCAAAAAGTG